GGCTCTGGCTGACGGTCCTGAAGGATTGTGGTAAGTGGTCGAGAGAGGCCGTAAGATGTAGGGTGTCTTCTGCACTTTGGCTCTGGCTGACGGTCATGAAGACTCCAGGTAAATTGTTTGCATAAGGGATGACCATTGGCTAAGTTTACAGGCTATATGGCATGCCCAGCTAACCTAGCTTGGTATGGTAATCAATTTAGCCGAGGTTGAGGCTGGTTTTAGGGCTGGATTCCTCAGCCTGGTGTGCAGATGGTGTCAAGCCTATGGAAGAGGTTTTCTAGTGCTGATGACAACAAGCCTTTAAAAAAACTGCCTGGAGAACTCGAAGTTTGGTGTTTTAGCTTTGCCTGCGGCCCCTTTTTCCATTGTGGATAGCCTGCTGGAGAGGGTAAGGGGGAGGGGTTATCCTACAAGCGGAAAAGGAACAAACCGGTTTTTGTGCAAACCAAAATGGGTTGTTGGCAAAGCGAAAAAGCTGAGGATATGGGCTGTCGTGCTTACCATTTTAGGACCATTTTTTGTTGTCCTTTTTAGGTGTCACAGTCCATTGCCTGTGCTCCACAATGCAGGCGCAATGGAATCTCATAAAAGTTTCCCACACCTAGGCCGGTGGTGTGTCCGTGCACACCTCAGAAGCTGGGTTTAAAGCACCAGTACACCACATATCGGCCTGCGGGTGTCAGCATGAAACCTGCACCACTTCGGAGGCCGCCAAATTTTGTTTTTCAACGGCGGGCCTGGCTGCACGGCACCTCTGAGTTTTGCTTGTGGTGACAAAAACTTTCTGCAAGGCTGGGGCCGTGTACTAGCGTTTTAAGCGGGGTTTTCGGAGGGTTTTCAGAGCGCCTGGTTGTGGAGTTGGGCCCTTAGTGGAGTTAGTGGTGAGGTGGGTACTTGGAAATTGGGTTGCTGGGTTTTCAAAGGGTTTTCAGAGTGCCTGGTTGTGGAGTTGAGCCCTTAGTGGAGTTCGTGTTGAGGCGGGTACTCGGAAGGGTACTTGGAAATTGGGTTTCCAATGGGTTTCCTGGTCACGGGCTCTGGCCTTCGGTGGATTTATTGTTTTCTTGCCATACATGCGTTCGTAGGGCTCTACTAGTTGGATTTTGTCAAAGTGGCAATCTGCTCGACCAATAGGACTCTATTGATGTGTGTGTCTTTGTCTTTTTGACATGCATACGTTGGTAGGGCTCTACTAGTTGGATTTTGTCACAGTGGCAATCTGCTCGACCGATAGGACTCTATTGATGTGTGTGTCTTTGTCTTTTAAGTTATTATCAGTACCCTTATGTATATATGTATATATTATATTATATTTATTACTCCTTTGACCAGGTAAGTTAGGATCAAGGTGAAGCAATTTGGACAAACGAAAATTCAATTGGACAACCATCAAACCGAATTGGTCAGTTCGATTTTCCTATTTAGTACATTATCAGAAGCGATTTGGACAACTGATATAGGTTGGGAGAAGTG